GGGGGGTTTAAGTAAAAAAATCCCATTTATAGAATCCACAAAAATAAGCAAAAAACCATCTTCAATGGTCACATAAAATTTATGGAATAGTAAATTTAAGTTAAGCTTTCACATAAAGTTACGGAAAATTTGTATTCCACAATTTTTGTAACATCGGGCTGAGTTTACAACCTCGCGCTGCTTTAATAATCTCGCGCGCTTTTTTAAACTACGCGTCAACAGAGCATTTCATTTTGGGCTAATTCTTGCCTGTGTCTTAGGGGCTGTTTGAATTTCCGGCTAGATGTGTAGACTGTTTTAGTGAAATTTGATAATATTGTGCTTGGCACTTCAATTTTGTGTTTCGTAGTGACAATTGTGCTTTGTAATTGAAAGCATATATTGCTCATTTCCGGCTAATTGTGCTTGGCACTTCAATTTTGTGTTTCGTAGTGATAATTGTGCTTTGTAATTGTGATAATTTTTGGCTAGATGTAACTAAATTGCTCATTTGACGCAAACGGATCTGCTCTATTTCAGGCTCCATAAGAAAGCATATATCTTCATAAAAGAAAACGGGTCAGGCTCCATTAGCAAACACACAAAGCAGCAGTATTCAGTACCTAATATAATAATAACATTATATTATACAAATGTTTTTTTTGTATTCGACAACGAACGCCAAGAGAAAAAAAAAATGCATATAAAGCACACAAACATCCAGGATTTGTTAGTCGTATCAGGCAACAATGCCAACAGCCAAATAATGCTAGAAAAGCACATACCATTTCATATCCACATTAAATTATCGATGTGGCATATATACTAACAAATAAAAATGGCACATACAGAAATCTCCGAAATACATTTAACAGGTACTTAAATACATTTAATCATCACATCATATTCAGACTTAATGAAGATGAACAAATTAGTCCCAAAAAAGAAATTCACTGAAAGAAGAAGCACAACATCTGTTCTCTATGAGTCATTGAAAGTGACAAAAGCAATCTAAGGTAGTCGAGTATCCAAAAATAAAAACACAGTAAGGGATAAGACACTACTGGAATATCTGTAGATGTATATTATAGGAATATCTCTAAATGTAAGTACCATTTAGAAAGTTGATATTCTCACCATGTATTTGTAATGTCCAACAAAACATTTACTAGAACAAAATCAGACAGTTGACATTCCCCACCCCCCAAAAAAGTAAACTGCATCTCTAAATTATTATACGAGCACCAATACCTACAGCCGATAATAAACTCGCAGGGGAAAAAATAACTATCAAGTCACCTGATCTATTGCATCATATAAGCTAAAACTGGTATTCAATGCGTGTGCCATATAAATCAAAAGTGGTATTCAAGACATAAGATGTCTTAAAAGTATAACTACTAATTCTTTAATTCCAAAATCAAATATGAATTAAACCACGCCGAACCAGCAGTGAACTTTTTTCAAACATTTACACCTGATGGTTAATATTTTAAGAAATTAGTGTCAGAAGTTGCCTGAACAGTAAGCAGCTGAAAAAAAACCAACAAAAAATAAAAGTAAAGCACGCCCGGTGGGATTCGAACCCACAAACGCCTGACTGTAAGTCAGACGCCTTATCCATTAGGCCACGGACGTTTTTTGACTCATTGAACTGATAAAGCAAATGAACAACGACAACAATGATCAGCTATGAAACCCAAAACCAAAAGACGAACCAAATATATAAATAACCACTGATTTTCTAATTCCATCATAAAATATGAATTATACCATGACGAACCAATAGTGCAATTTATTAAACAATTTACACCCGGTTCTAAACGTTTTAACAAACAACGAAGAATAAAGAAATGAACAATTTACACCTGATGCAAATGTTGCATGAACAATAAGCAAATGAAATCAGAAAATGAAGTAAAAATAAAAGCAATGCACAACCACTGAGATTCAAACCCACAATTGTCAATCGACGAACAAGGATCTCATCCACTGTTCGTGTATTCGAGTCAAAGAAAGCAGGAAGAAGAGAAAGAGAGAGAGATCTATAAGTCGTCGATCGAAAACCAACACATCTGGGCGACACAAAAGTTTTAAGATGATCGGATGCGCCCATTTCACCGAGAATCACATCATTTCAGTCTGATTTGCACAACATTTAGTTTGTACATCCATGACTTTTTGTTTTTGTATTATACTTAATATTTTTCTACAACAATATTGTGTGAATGTTGTTTTGTTTTTTGGACTCCAGTTATGTTAATGCAGATATGGAAGCTGCTACTGAATGTGCGTGTGATGAAGTCTGATCATTATTCTGACTGTTCAACATTTGTAATATTGTATAAAGATCAATACATTTATTATTAAAGACTTTGCTCTGTTCGACGACAACTACAAACACCT